TGGTCATCTTGTCCCATCCATGTCTATATCAGACATCCAGTGGTCATCCAGTCTTTGTCTGAAGACCTCCAATCTAGGGGATCCCCACCAGCTTGTGTCATTTTTTATAGCTCTGATCATCAAGTTTTTTTTTAATATTAAGCCTAAATTGGCTCTTTTCAGCTTCTATTCACTGCTCCTAGTTATGCCCTTTGGAGTCAAGCAGAGCAAGTCAAATGTGTCTTTCACTCAATAGCCCTTCAAATACATGAAGACAGCTATTATATGTCCCCCAAAATCTTCCCTTACTCAGGCTAAAATATCAGAAGTTCCTCTGGCCTATGGAATGAATTCAAGGCTTTCATCAGCCTGGTTACCTTCCTCTGGCCACTCTGCTGTTTATCAATGTCCTTCCTAAAACGGGATGTCTAGAAACTAACTCAGTACTCTAATTATGGTTTGACCAGTGCAGCATACAGAGGAACTATCACCTTCTTAGTCCTAGACACTATCCCTTTCTTGATCAGCTCATGAATTCATTAGTTTTCTTTAATATCACACTGTTGAATCATATTGACCTTTCACTTCACTAAAATTATGATCTTTTGTGGATAAATGACTATCTTGTCATGTCTCTTCCATCTTGCACTTAACTAATTGACTTTTTGAACTCAAGAATAAGAAGAACCCAAAGGAAAAAAAAATCATTACCTTGAGGTTTCCTTTTACTAACGATCCTTTCAACACTTAAGTAGGTTAGAATGGAGAAGACAGACACAGAGTCCATCTCTGGAGTAATCGAAGTCATTTTGGCTTGGTATGATCTGCTGCTCCCCTGACACAGACTTGAAGAATCCAGGTTCACCTCCATAGGAAAATGAGATATATGAATAGGGTTTTAGTGATGGTCTCCAAAAAGTAGAGGACAGAAAAAAATTATTTCTCATTAGTATTATTCTACTCAACACAAGAGCTCAAAAAATACATTTCAATGTTATAGCCATGAAAGTCTGAAAATGATATAGGTGAAATCACCATATGAAATAACAGGAAGTTTCTGGTATGTCCTGCTTGAATTGCATTGACTGTGAATTTATGATACACAGAACTCTTACTAGAGCTAGTAATTATTCATGTCTTCCTAAGGGAGCAATACTAGTGCTAGATCCTTGGGCACCATGGGTGTCAATCAGTAAAGCTGGAGGAAGGGAAAAAGCAAGGAAGGCCTCTACACAGAGCCTGGGTTGAGCTCTTGGAAGAGCTGGAGAATGTGATTTTTGGTAATTCAGTGTTATGATGAAATCACATTTTGGGATTTTGGATAGATGCACCATGAAATCCATTATAAATACAACCTGACTGACAATATAATTTCTGGTGAAATATCCCTTCTCCTGGAGGTACTGATGTTGATTTCCATGGCTGCTGATGATTGATGACGATGAAGCTAAAGACACCAATAATGGGCAACTTCAGAAATTTGATTTGAGAGAAATAGGAATCACTATCTTTTCTTGATCATAAATGCATCATATGACCCTAAATACACTTCAGCTGCACCCTGACGGATCTAAGTTATACATACAATGAAATAAAAAATTTCCCTTAGTGAAAAAAAATTTAAGCCCTGGATTTTTTCTGAAAAGAAGATGAATTCTAATCTGTTTAGGACAAAGTTAAGTATAGTCTTACCTAGAGGTAGAATGGTAGACTTAGCTTATCCATATTGTTATTATTTTCTTCTTCTCTTTCTCCTTCTTTTCCTTTACCTCCTCCTCTTCTTCCTTCCCCTCCCCCATCCCTTCCCCTCTCCTCCTTTTCTTTCTCCTCTCCTTCTCCATGTCCTCCTCTTCCTCCTACTCCTTTCTCTTCCTCTTCCTCCTCCTGCTCTTCTCCCCTCCTCCTCCTCCTCTTGTTTCCTTCTCCTTTACCCCTCTTTCTCCTCCTCCTTTTGTCACCACAACCATTATCATCATCAGCAGCAGCAGGACAAGCCAGGAAGATTCAGATTCAAGTCCTATTTCTGACACATTGGCTGTGTGGTGTGGGACAAGTCACTTAACCTCTCAGTGCACTAGGCAACTCTCTGAGACTGTTGTTGACCTGGGGTAGTAGAAGGAGTTTCCTTACCAGAGAATACTCTATATGAGGAGTAAACCCAAAGGTCCAGTCCATATATCTTTATTAGCATTAAGTTGTCCAATTATGCATGGCATTTGATTGGGAAAGAAAAAGTGAATTAGACAAAGTGTCATTCCCTGCTTTTGCAGAGTGTGCTCTTCCTTGTGAGAAGCTTCTTTTATAAAGAGGTGATCAGCAAGATGTTGATGAAGCATTATGTATTCTCTGAAAAGTGCTCTTAGAATGTTTATGATGTTATTCCAATAAGCTGCCATCATCCAAGCCACTAAAGAGTGGGCCTAGGTTTTTAAACCACATCTCTGAATGACCATCATTATTATTTTATGCTTTTTGTCATCAAAATGCCTCATGCAGTGTTCATACTCTTTAAGAAGACAGAATATGTGAAAATCCAAATTTACAGAGATAGGGGGAGAAAGGGTGGTCATTCTCACTACAAAAGCATTCTTTGTCTTAAAAAGGAATCCTTATAGATTTTCTTTGCATTTCTAGTCTATTCAAAGTATGACCTGATTTACATATAGTGGATTCAAGCACAATTCTTTAGGTACCTAGCTATTCTATAGCAGTACACACTAAACATTATTTTTTTTCAGACTGGCTGGGGTTTCAGTGACATATTACAACATTGCCCTGACAAGCAGAAATAGGTCTTCTGTCACAGCTTCCCAGACTAATCTGATAAAGGAATGATTTTAAATTTCAAACAATAGTCACAGAACCTATATATATATATATATATATATATATAGATGGATAGGTTGGGGAGGTTGAAATATGGAAAATCCCATGGGGGAAAAGTGATTGGGGAAATTCTGAAACAAAAGAAGAAATTGAGGGTATTTTCATAAGAAAAAATGACTGCATGGAATAAGCATTTTTAAAATATAGTCCAGAATATCATTAGGTTGCTGCAAAAATTGCTCAGGCAACAATAGGTCTCTGGCAGTGTAAGCCTGTAAGGATGCATGCAAATAGGAACTAGACTTACTTGAAACTTGGGACTAGACTGGATTTTTGGGTTGGGAGGATTTAATACTGCACATTATCTTCCAACTTCATGACCAGAATATGCCTCTATTGCCGGCGAAGGTAGTCTCCCAATCCGACTGCACTCTGTACAAGACCCTTATCACAAAAAACTATGGCCATGTTTTTCACTCATGTGGGGATCAGGTTGCATCCAGCTCTCCTCTCGTCCTCTTCCCCCACCCCAGTTTCTCACACATACCTGGCTCTGTCTTCGTTCTTCTTTTCTTCTTCTCCTCCTCCCCCTCCTCCTTCCATCACTATCACCACCATTATCATCATCAAGAGAGGCAGCCTCAAAATCAGGAGGATTCAGCTTCAAAATCCATCTTTGACACATTGGTTGTGTAAAGTGGGGCAAGTCACTTGAACTCTCAGCATGCTGGGCAGCTCTCTAAAAGGATTCTTCTTCTCACATTCCCTTTCTCAGACTTCAGGAAGGGAAAACTCTCTCTCCTCCTATCCTTGGAAAATGATGGCTATCATGGGCTAATTTTTCACAAAACAACTATTCGAGCTTCCCAAAACACTAGGGTTCCCCAGAACAGTATGGGAAACAGTGTTGTACTGACTGCATTCTTGACTTTGAGAAAAGGACTGACCAAAACAATTTGCAATTATTCAAGAAAAGAGACCAAACTGTTTTATATCCTTTGACCCAATGATTTCACTACTGAGCATATACCCCGAAGAAGTAAAACAGAAAGAAATGTCCAATATATGCCAAGTTATTTATATCAATACTATTTGTAGCAATAAAAAACTAGAAACAAAGAGGATGCCTATCTGTTCAGGAATGGTTGAACAACCTGTGGTGTATGGCTCTAATGGAATATTGTTATGCAATAAGAAAGAGCAAATACAAGGATTTGGGAAAATATTGGAAAATGTGTATGAAACTGAGCTACAGTAAATTAAACAGAACCAGAAGAAGGCTCTATACAACTATAAGAATATATGAAAAGAAAGCCTAGCTTTGAGAGAGCAGATAATGAAGCATACCTTCTCTTTTTTTCAGGGGAGGGGCAGAAGATTATGGGAGGAACTGAGGCAGAACATTGCATGTTTTGTCAGATGTAGCCACTCTGTAAGTCATTTTTACTTAACTATTTGTTTTTGAGACAAAAGAGGATTCAGTGTGAGGGTAGGGAGACAGATCTAGAAATGGCTGTGATTTTTAAACAAAAGGCACTAAGCCCAACCTTCCTGAAGGACCAGATGATCTCTTAAGATATCTGCAAATTTGATATTGCTAACCTAATTTCTCTGACCTGGTACTGACACCCTCATCTTATGAATTAATTATTAATAAATTTAATTTAAAACTTAATTAACTAATAATAATTATTAATGCTTATTAATTCTTACTAGATACAAAGCTGTATGCTTTACCAGTTGTCTTGGGTCATTCATAAATTATCAGTACTTTAAAAGGAGCTCTTTCTTTAAAAACCCAACAGCTGATTATTTTTCTTATGTCTCAGTTATTAAATGAGGCCAGTCACTTAAATAGCAAAGTTCTTTCTATCATTTAGCAAGAGTATGCAGAGAAAATGCACTGGGCGGGAAAACTATGTAAGCGGGAAGAACATGTAAGTGTGTTCTTGGGCAGATATACCCAAACAGATGCTGAATGGTGGGGAATGTTTGTAAGCCACTGTGTTATCAGAGGGCCTCACTGTAAAAAGAGTAAGATGATGAAGAGCAAGGATGCATCACCAAACACTTATCCCCTTTACACACCTTTAGAGCGTGATAAAGAAAATGGAACCAGCCAAGCAGTTGTGGTCTGACCAGATAAAACATTTGGGCGGGAACACTAATGTTTGGGTTTGGTTTTTTTTTTTTTTAGAGCACTAGTTGTTCCAAATGTCTTAAATCAGCTGCTAGGCTGGTATTTGTGGTAGTCACACTAAACTGCAGTCACCAACTGAAGCAGGATGAATGATGTGAAAAGGAACCAGCTTCACCTGGATGCTAATGAGATGCCTGCCCTTGGCCAGAAAGAGGACAGTGTTCCAGGTAATAAAGAGTTAGTGCAGAGACTGTGAGGTGCTAGCAGTTGGATACACCAGGGATTATATTTTCTGCCATGCTCTCTCTCTGTGGATCTTGCATAGGCCACTGATGAATATTTACTAATAATTGTGGGAAACAGGACATTAGGCATCCTGTTGTCTCCTCTAGCCCTATGATTCTAAAAGCTGTTACAGAGTTTTTCGGTTTACAACCTGAAGAAACAGAAAGAAATAATAAAAGAATTATTCCTTGAGTCTGAGAAAGGGGGTGAGGAAGAAGAAAATTAAAGCTAAATGACTAAAAAGCAATGGTGTGTCCAAATATTAATTATTTAGAATATGTTTCTATGTATATGTAGGTGTTTGAGAAGACAAGGAAGAGGGAAAAAAACAGACTGAGAAACATGCTTGTTAAGGATAAGAATAATTTTGAAGAATGGCATTTTGGCAGTATAAAAACAAATCTTAAAAGTTTTTGAGTAAATTGTTTTCTTTCCATTATTATTATGGTTACCCTTATTATTTATTATTAACTATTAATTCTTTCAGAACACAAGGATTTTTTTTTATTTTTAATATCTGGGACTTCTGGTAGAAAATATTGGGATTTTGTTATTTTATACTAGAAATAGCTTATGTGGCCATAATGAGAAAACCATAGATCTTGACCAAATTCCATATTCAATATGGAAAAAGTTTCAGAAGAAACTGAAGGCTTAAAAGATAACAGGTGAGATCTCTGCAACTGCTCAAAGAATTCAAAGAATAAATTGGAGACTAGGAAAATGGATAATTTGTCATTTGACAAAAAAAAAAGATCCCCCAAACCCACCATTTTGTTATTTTAGTGAAAAATAATTTTAGTAGAAAATAACATCCATTGAGTTTATAAATGCTTTGCTATTTTGGATTTTATATACTAAGCACATCTGCTTGCTGAATGATATTTCTTTAAATGGCTGTAACCCCAATTTGTTTGCAAAGGTGCATGCAAGTGATGAATTTGTCCACAGAACTTTTATGACAATATGACTATAAAAAACCAAACCAAACCATGGAGCACATGGCTCAGGGGAAAATGGATGCCACTTGTCAGGCATGTAGTAGAGGGGAATTCTACTTCAGATTGCATTGGACCAGGGAACCTGTAAAGTCCCTTCTAAACGCTAAGATTTTATAGTCCTGTGATACTTTGTCAAGAAGTTTTACACTTCCTTAAATTAAGTATTGATTCCTTTCCTCAGGGAATATAATAGAGATAAGCCATATGCATTCAAAAAGCAAGAATATGGGTTATAATTCAATAATTTCAAAATGACTGATATACACAGAAAATACTATAGGAGTTCAGAGGAGGGATACATCACTTTGGGTAGAGGGGCAAAAGATTTTGTGGAGGCGATAGGACTTGAGGTGAACTTTGAAATGTAGGTAAGATGCAGATTGGCAGAGAAGACGGGGAAAGCATTTCATGATGGGAATCAACATGAACTAAGGTAGAGAAATGAAAATGAACAATGAGCCAATGAACAGATCACACTGATTATAGTGGGAAAAGTTAAAACTAAGGTTGAAGACAGATGCAGGCCAGATTATGGAGAAGCTAAACTCTTCATTTTACAGATGAGTAAATTGAATTCAAAGGGATAAAGTGACTTGCTCAAAGCCACACAGCTAGTAAACAGTACAAAGAACTAGACTGCAATGAGTTAAGGAAGAAATGAGTGGGGAGGAAGTACAGGCAGGCATGTAGAGCAGTGGTGTCAAATTCAAATAGAAATGAAACCCTGGGAATTGCATGTTACTTAGAAAACCACAAATTAAAATTATCTATATTGTGTTTTGCTTTATTATTACACATTTTTCAATTACTTTTTAAAAATTACATTTTAATCTGATTCAGGCTGCAACAGAGTTTTGTGGACTACTTGTGGCTGTATGTTCTATCTAGGACCCCTCTGGTAGATGATTGATATTCAAGGAGTTTGTCAGAGAAAGGAAGGAGAGAGAAATAGCCTTGAATGGAGTATGACATTTTTATTTTAGGTTTGCAGATTAAACTTTCCAGAGGATTCACTCTTCAAAAGAATTGAAGTTTTATATAGGGTAAATTGCTAAGAGGTAGCTGTGTTTCTTTGGTCATGGTCCCCTGGCCCAAACAGTACGCTTATGGTTTTGTGAAGATCCAGTGAAATGACATTTACTGAAGGAGCCATTGTGTGGACACAGACATAGACAGCTGGAGACTGAGATCTCCTTTGTGCTCAGAATTGTTCCTCTTTCACCCTTAGGATGGAAGTAATGCTTGAGGTCAGAACTTGTTGCAGAGAGAAATCTGATCTAGGGGGTAAAGATAGGAATGGATCCCAATTACTCCCAAATGGAAAGCTTCTATTGTATTCTGAGACTACTAGGTACAGAGATTCTATAATCTCTTTCCTCAGAACCGGCCAATTGAATTTTATTGCATTTTCTTGATGAAGATCTTTTATTTTGGTCTTACAGAGATCACAGGAACTCGATGTTTGCGGAACCGAGAGCTACTGAGGAAAAGAAAAGCTGAAGCCCAAGAAAGACAAACTGCACAATGGCTCGGGTAAATTAGTGAAAGTGGAATATGAGTACGTTGTAAAGAGAGCAGGTGGCACCCGAGGGAATCTAGATAACAGTGTGAATAACGTTAATTGCTTATATTTGTATATAGAGTTCACAAAGTGCTTTTACATAGAGAGACACTGTGGTATAGTCGATAATGCTGGACTTAGGGCCAAGAAGCCCTGGATTCAAATCCCGTCTCAGATGTTTACTAGCCATGTAATTTTGGACAAGTCAGCTGACCTCTATGAGCCTCAGTTTTCTCATTTGGAAAGTGGGGAATTTAGGTGATGCAGTGGATAGGCCTCACTCAGATCTTTAGTCAGAAAGATGCATCTTCCTGAGTTCAAATCCAGCCTCAGACATTTACTAGCTTGTGACCCTGGACAAGTCACTTAAGCCTGTTTGCCTCAGTTTCTTCATCTGCAGAATGAGCTGGAGAAGGAAATGGCAAACCACTCCAGCATCTCTGCCAAGGAAAGCCCAGCTGGGGTCATGCAGAGTCAGACACGACTGAAAAAGACTGAACAACAAAAAGTAGGGATAATGACATCTATCTCAGAGTTGGTCTATCAAATAAGACGATATAAAACTCTTTGTAAATGTTAAGGTGACATATACATGTATTATTTGTTTGAGGTTCATAAAAACTACATGTGGTAGAAAGAGCAAATATTTTCTTTTTGTTGTTGTTGTTTGTTTGTTTGTTTTTTAGTGAGGCAATTGGGGTTAAGTGACTTGCCCACAGTCACACAGCTAGGAAGTATTATGTGTCTCAGGCCACATTTGAACTCAGGTCCCTCCTAACTCCAGGGTCGGTGCTCTATCCACTGTGCCACCTAGCTGCCGCCGAGCAAATATTTTCTTATGTGGAGACGGCCAAGTGGTTTAGTAGTAAGAACACAGGATTTGGAGTCAGAAGTCAAATTCCATCTTTTATTCTTTTTTTGACTGGCAATTTGGGTTAAATGACTTACCCAGGGTCACATAGCTAGTACATGTCTGAGGCCGGATTTGAACTCAGATCCTCCTGACTCCAGGGTTGGTACTCTATCCACTGCACCTGCTTCCACCTCCACCTGCCTCCTAGCTTTTATTCTTAATGCCTGTATGAGTTTGCACATTACTCCTCTGGATCTCATTCTCCTCATCTACAAAATGAAGGAGCTGGATGAGATGATCTTTAGATGTCCATTCAGCTCTATATCCTCTGATTCCTATTTTATAGATGAACAAATAGACTTTCCTAGAGGTGAAGTGACTGGTCCACAGACTAGCAAGTAGTCAGTGATGGAGGCTAGATGGGAACCATGTTTTCTTACTCTTACTACAGTACTAGATTTGAAATCAGGAAAAGGAGTCTCCCTGACTGGGCCCAATACTCCAACCTCTGTGTCATCTAGCTGCCCATTCCTTTACATAAGACACCAAAATAGAGGGCTGTTCTAGACTGGGCTGTAAGCAGGATCAAGAGAGTCAAAGCAAAAGCTGGAAATTGCATGGAAGCCAGAAATAAAGATGTAACCATGAGGGAAAGCTGGCTGGTAGTCAGGTTCCAGGGAATACATAGGACAAGACAGAGATAAAGACAGTATTATTGGCTTCTGATCTGTCAAGTGGTGTGGCCAGCAAAGAGATATGATATGCCAGAGATTTTAGGATCTTGAAATTAAAGCCAATTTGTCTCATACAGGAAGCTTCTTATTTTCTTCCTAGTATGGCTGGACTGACTTCTCAAGGACCGACTATTCCCAGGTTAGAAAAGAAAAACAAGCATTTGTTAAGGACTTATGTTACGAATAGTATCTCTTTTGATCTTCAGAACAACCCTAGGAGGTGGCTGCTATCATTATCCCCATTTTACACTTGAGAAAACTAAGTGACTGGCCGAGGGTCACACAGCTAGTAAAGATCAAAGGTCACATTTTAATTCAGGTCTTCCTGATTTCAGGATAAGCATTCTCTGTATTGCAGCACCTAGCTACTTTAACAGAAGGCTTAAGAGGTGCTATATCACAGCAACTCAATCCCAGTGTCTGATTGAACTGAATCTGACCAAGTCACTATTACTACATTTTTTCTCTCATCACTTTTTTCCTTCCACAGGACAACATAAATGGAAATAATAGAATTTAGACTCAGAAGTCATCTTCTCTAATCCCTTCTTGAACCTACTAGAATGAGAGAAGGCATCAATTTATGCCTAGTGCCCTTCAAATATCTCCCAGTTAACTCACGTTAGATACCACGTAGGCATGGACAGATTATCTGAGACTCTTAAAGACCCAGTGGAAAAAGCCTTAGATATATCGGAGGACCTGGATTTGATTTTAAGTTTCTGCACCTTTGGGCAAATTCACAAAACCTATTTCTCCCTCTGTAAGATGAAAGGGTTGGACTAAATGACCTCTAGGATCACTTCTTGCTCTAAACCTAATAATACAGTATACTAAAATACCTTTTCCTACCCTCTCTACTCCTAAATCCTGGATGAAAGTGTGTTCTAATTACTTCCTTAGGTGTGCAGATCCTGGACTCTGACTCTCCAGTGGGCTGGCCATGAGCACTAGAGTTCCCAGAGTTAGTTATACTGCGATGCTATATTTTTACACATATGCTGAAATCATGTTTTTTTTTTTTTAATATAAATTTATTTATTTTTAGTTTTCAACATTTACTTCCACAAGTTTTTGCGTTCCAAATTTTCACCCCATCTCACCCTTCCCCCCACCCCAAGATGTCATGCATTCTGAATATCCCTTCCCCTACTCTGTCCTCTCTTCTATCTCTCTCCCCTTCTCTTATCCCCTTCCCCTTCTATTTTCCTGTAGGGCAGGATAGACTTCTGTACCCCATTTCCTATATTTATTTCCCAGTAGCATGTGAAAACATTTTTTTTAAACATATGTTTTTAAAACTTTAGGTTTCAAATTGAAATCATGTTCTTGAATCTTCTTTTGTTGTTCTAACAGATCACAGAACCAAAGCAAACGACAAAGAACAGCAAAAGGCCGAGGCCGGCCACAAACTAAAGAAACAAAGAAGGAGCCTCCACTACAAGTTGTGAGAGTGGAAAAGGAAGAAAAAGCAAAGAAGGAACTGCCATCTCTAGAGCAGCAGAAGGAGCCACTGGTGACTGCTGCCGAGGACTTTCATTCTACAGAAAACCAAGAAGGGACTATGATAGAACATGCCCCTAAAACATATCAGTATGCAGCTATGACTCAAGATTATGCAACTGAAACATACCAAGAGACATCTGAGCCTGAGGATCTTTCTCCTAAAACACGCCAAGAAACAGCTGTGCCTGAAAAACATACCTCTACAACATACCAAGAAACCACTGGGTTTAAAGAGATGCCTCCTAAAACATGCCAAGAAGTAGTTGTACCTGAATCTTTCTCTCCTAAAAGATATCAAGAAACAGCTCTTCCTAAAGATTGCTCTCTGAAAATACGACAAGAAACAGCTATCACTGAACGCTATTCACCTAAGAGATGCCAAGAAACAGCTGTACCTGAAGAGCTTCCTCCTAAAACATGCCAGGAAATGGGTGTGTCTGCAAAATATACCCTTGAAACATACCAAGAAGCATCTGTACCTGAAGATCTCTCTCGTAAAACATGCCAAGAAACAACTGTGCCTGAAAAACATACCTCTACAACATACCAAGAAACCACTGGGTTTAAAGAGATGTCTCCTAAAACATGCCAAGGAACAGTTGTACCTGAATCTTTCTCTCCTAAAAGATACCAAGAAACAATTCTCCCTAAAGATTGCTCTCCGAAAATGTGTCAAGAAACAGCTGTCACTGAAAACCATGCATCTAAGAGATGCCAAGAAACAGCTTTACCTGAAGAGTTTTCTCCTAAAACATGTCAAGAAATAGGTGTGTCTGCAAAATACACCCTTGAAACATACCAAGAGACAGATGTTCCTGAAGATCTCTCTCCTAAAACATTAAAAGGAAGAGCTATAACTGAAAATTCTTCACCTAAAAGATGCCAAGAAACAACCATTTATGAAGCACTTTCTCCTAAAACATGCCAAGAAAGAGCTGCACCTGAAAAATACACCCTTGAAACATGCCAAGAGACAGCTGTCCCAGAATCTTCCTCTCCTAAAAGATATCAAGAAACAGCTGTTCCTAGAGATTGCTTTCCTAAAACACATCAAGGAACAGTGATCGCCGAAAACTATGCATCTAAGAGATGTCAAGAAACAGCTGTGCCTGAAGAGCTGTTTCCAAAATTGTGCCAGGAAATGGCTGTGTCTGAAAGATACACCCTTAAAACATACCAAGAAACAGTTGTGCCCGAAAAACATACCTCTAGAACATGCCAAGGAGCAGCTGTGCCTAAAGATTGTTCTCCTAAGACATGCCAGGAAAGGGCTATGACTGAAAAAGGTGTCCCTAAAATGTACCAAGAAACAACTGTGTGTGAAAGTAGCTTTCCTAAACCGTTCCAGGAAATGGATGCACTTGAGCAACATACCTCTAAAACATATCAAGAAACAGCTGTGCCCAAAGATCTTCCTCCTAAAACACACCAGGAGAGACCTATGCCTGAAAAATATACTCCGAAAACATACCAGGAAACAGCTGTACGTGAAGTTCTCTTTACTAAAACATGTCAGGAGAAAAATGTGCTTGAAAAACATGCCCCGAAGATGTCCCAAGAGAGGGCTGTGGCTAAAGATCTCTTACCTAAAAAATGCCAAGAAAGTGATGGAATTAAAGAGTATCCTATGGAAACACACCAAGATACAGCTGTGGCCAAAGATCTCACTCCTAATATAAGCCAGAAAATATCTGTGCTTGAAAAATATTTCCCTAAAACATACCAAGAAGCAGCTACGCCCACAACTCTCTTGGCTCAAATACGCCACAAAACAGATGGTCCGGAAGAATATCCTACCGAAACATACCAAGAAAATGCTATGCCTGTAGTTCAGGATCCTGGAACACACAGAGAAACTGCTATGGCTATCATTTGTCCTCCAAGTAGGCTTCCCCTTTCATTAAGATGTTCAAATAGAAGTGAAGGTTTGCATTGAGTAACTATCTGGATTTAAAATATTCAAGTACTGTTGAATCCCGGGCAAGTTTCTTAATAATAATAATAATAATAATAATAATAGCTAATTAGGTACCAGGCACTGTGCTAAGTGCTTTATAATTATTATCTCATTCGGTCCTCACAAGGAGGTAGGCGCTATTATTATTCCCTTTTCAGATAAGGAAACCAAGGCAAACATAAATTAAGTGACTTGCCCAGGGTCATACAACTAGTGTGAGATCTGAGGGTGGATCTCAGGTCTATCCTGACTCTAGGCCCAGATCTCTAACCACTGTACCACGGAGAGCAATTGGTCTAGAGACTCTCAAATGTCCCTGACAGCAGGCTATTTATAACTCTCAGGTGTACAGGTTTCTGTCTGTTTTACACCTGGGGTTTACCCCCTCATCTCAAGGGCACTGGTTGATTTCAGAGCAAACACTCCATCTGTGGTTTCAATCAGTGCATACTTGAGGAAAACGATAAAAAATGAAAGCTTGCAACACCTACTTAGTCTTAGCCAATGAAGGGATAGTAACCTAACAGAAATAATATATAAAATATTATAAATTTTATAATATAAAATATTCTATACAAAACATATAATATTACAATAGGATATTAAATATTGTATAATATATAAAATAGTAATATATTAATTATAAAAATTAACCAGAGTGCTTAAGGAAGGGTGTGTTTTAGTTTATTTTTCTTGTAAATTCATAAGGGGTTTTTTTTTTGGTGGTGAACAGTTTTTTGAACACAATTGAATCCTTCCTTGATGACGGGTGATCTCACAGTGCCTTGTGGCCATCATTCTGCACATAAGTTCTTCTCATTCAATATTGTAGGAAGAGGTAGAATATTTAGATGAATTTCTACTGGCCCTATGATATTTCTTGGATTTTAAACCCTTGATAATGACTCATTTCTTTGTCAGATAGCTGCTTTTAAAAAGAGAATTCAATGAAACACCATGATAGAGAATTTTGATTAATTGGATGCAAATTTTGAAGTTTTACTGCAGCATTGTGTAAGCAATACCCTCATTCTGCCCCCCCCAAAAAAAAAGTAGGTGTGAACAACTGTAGGAATATAAAACTAGAGTCAACTAAAACCAAGATAATACCTCATCTCTAAGAATTTACATTCTGAAATTTTGATGCAAACCATTTACGTCTATCTTATTTTGTTTTACAGAACTGAAAAAAATAACAGAAGCAGAGGAACCAGAAAAGCCTGCAATTCTGAGTCTTTCCCAGGAGAATAAAGCAGAGATTGATTACTATAGGTTTCAACAACTACCTCAACCATAATAGTTTCAAACTAAAGATATAGTATACTAATATTTTAAATGCACAGTTTCTCTGCATGCAATCAACTACAGATCTCTATAGTATTTGACAACAACTTGACTCAGGGATATTTTCCTGTATGTACTCTGTATTTAATATATTTAAAGACCTGGCTTCAGCTATGGTGACAAATTTGTGTGTACTGGGGAACTGGGGGTAGTGGGAGCAGATTGGATAGGAGTGGGGGGGGAAGGGGGAAAAACTGAGGACCATCTTTTTGTTACCTCAGAAAACGAAATTGTTTTAATTAATTCTTGATATTAAGTGATTAAATGATTAGGAACATTTAAAACCTTTCTTGGCAGTTTCTTGTTTTCTTGTAAACTTAAATATTAACATAGTAATAATTTTATTGTTTTGCTTAGGCTTTTTAAAAAATTTGGTTGTTTTATTAGTGTAGCAGTTTTACTTACTTCTATGAGGATCCTCAAAACCTACCTGGTGTAGGGGTGTGTGTGTGTGTGTGTATGTGTGTGTGTGTGTGTGTGTGTGTGTGTGTGTGTGTGTAATAGCTTGTTTTTTGTTTTGTTTTGTTTGGTTTGGTTTGATATATATATATATATATATATATATATATATATATATATATATATATATATAATATATATATAACCTTTGTGTCAGCGGCTTCTTCCTAATGTAAAGCAATAGGATACACTTCGGGGGACTCCTCACTTCTCTGGCTCATTGCCTGGATCCTGACAATGTAGGAATTTGAATGTCTAATACTCTTTACACCAAATACATAGTTATGAAGTCTCAAAACATGAACAGTTTTATTTACAGGTTAATAGAACTAAGCAGGACTCACATCTGAGGCCATAGAAAGAAGTAAAATTCACCAGTGTAATTTCAGTTAGTTACTTAAAGCATAGGGTGTCCCAAAAGTCTTAGTGTAGTTTTAAGATCATTACCAAAAATTGCACTAAGACTTTTGGGACACCTTGTTTTATCCTAGGGTTGGCACTCCAGCACAGATGGTTGGCAGTTGCTTTTCTCTATTGGTAGTCCCCTTCCTATCATCTTTGCCTGCCAAGTATTGCTTAAAATTTTCCCCTTAAACCCTCCCTCATCTCGTACCTTCCCTATTACAGAAGAGGCCAACACCATCCTTCCAGTCCCTCACTCTCATAATCTAGGAATCATCCTGGATTCACCCCCCGAGCCACCTGTGAGCTGGTGTCATGGCCTGTCGATTTCACCTTTGCAACATCTCACCAGTCTGCCCCCTTCTCTGCCCCTCTGGTGCAGGCCCTAATTACCTCACATCTTGATTATTATAGGAGTCACCAGCATCCACCAGCAGGTGGATCTGCCTGTTTCAAGTCTTTCTCCACTCCAATCCATCCTCCATTCAGCCACCAAAGTGATTTTCCTAAAATCTGTACTCTGCCATCCAGTGACACTGTCCTCTTGGCTGTTCCACAAACGAGACACTCCATCCCTCAGCCTTAGGCATTTTCTCTGGCTGTCCTCCCTATCTGCAACACTCTCTCTTCTCCACTCTGACTACTGACCTCTTTGGCTTCCTCCAAGTCCCAACTAAAATCCCACCTTCTTCAGCAAGCCTTCCCCAATGCCTCTTAATTACAAGACTTCCCCTCTTTTAATTATTTCATATTTATCCTGCATATAGTCTGCTTTGTACGTATTTGTTTGCATGTTGTCTTCCCTTTTAGATTGTGAGATCCTTGGGAGCAGGGACTACCTTTGGCCTCTTTTTGTATCCCCAGTGCCTAGCACAGTGCCTGGCACACAGTGGGTGCTTAATAAATGTTTATTGACAATTGAATCTCTGACAAGTCTTGCCTCCTGCCCTTCTCAGCAGGTATCACTGGTTGCTTTTCCCCACCACTGTCTTCCACGGCTGCTATCTCCTATAATTCAGTTAGTTAGCTTCTAGAAGACAGCAGTCATTGTCCCCAACTCCTTTCTTTTTCTTTTGCATTTGTGCTATTCTCAGCACCTAGGCGTGGGGCTCTGAACTATTTTTTCTATGTCATAGACTTTTTTGACTGTTTGGTGAAGCCTATGAATTCCTTTGAATTCCTATGAATGTTTATAAATGCATGAAGCTAAATACAGATGATTATAAAGGAAACCAATATATTGAAATATACTAAAAAAAAAAAGCTTTTGGACCATAGGTTAAGAACCTCTATTAGAGCAGGAAGTTCTTTCCCTTTCCTGGGGGACTAGTTCTTAATGAGTATCTCATATGGTAAAGGAACTTGGGATATGTTTTAGGACTCAAAAACACATTCCTGTTATGTCTACCCCTATTTTTGCATACTGTCCCCTACAGGACTAAGCCTCACACACTAGGGGTTTGGGGGCTATAGGAAAGTTCTTTCCTTCCATCTTACAATGTACCTCCTCTTGCAGTATCACGTGTGTTCATGGAAATTTATTAGCACTCACAACCCATCCTGCCAGTGCAAAAGGCATGGAGGAGTGCCTCACTCTCAGATGTTCACTCTGCCCCCCAGGGCAGTTGGGCTAGTTTATTCATATTTTCTAGGGTTGTTTCTGAAAATATCTAGAAAAGGGAAAAGATGGAGCTCGTTCCTCCTAATGCAACTATCCTTATGGCCAGAGCTACTTCTCTTGATCCTCTAAAAACTTCTTCCTGACTTCTCTATTTTTGTTAATGACACAGCTATCATCCTGACCACACACTGGAACACTCAGGAATTATCTTTCAGGACTCCCTCTTCTTCATTCTACATGTTCAATTATTTATTAGAATCTATCATTTCTTGCCTCCACAATATCACCTGAACTGTTTACTCTCTGACCATTCCTTCTCAGTCTCCTTTGTTGGATCTTTATCCATGTCAAAATCATGATTGGGGCAGCTAGGTGGCACAGTGGATAGAGCAGCAGCCCTGAAGTCAGGAGGACCGGAGTTCAAATCCGGCCTCAGACCAAACACTTGACATTTACTAGCTGTGTGACCCTGGGCAAGTCATTCAACCCCAATTGCCAACCCCCCCCCCAAAATGACAAAACCCATGATTAGAGAGTGAGTGTCCCCTAACACTCTATTATGGGTCCTTTTTCTCTTTATGCTATCTCTCTGATAATCTCAGCTGTCATGGGTTCAAATATTATCTCTATGCTGATGATTCCCAGATCTATAGACCCAGCCTCAGTCTCTCTGGGGTTTCAGACCCGCATCAGCAACTTTGTAGTGGACATTTCATGCTGGATGTACAGTAGGCATTTCAAACTTCACACGTCTAAAACACTCATTATCTTCCCTCCAAAACCCACTGCTCTTCCAAATTTTTACATTACTTCAAAGAGCACTGCCATCCTTCTAGTCCTTCAGGTTCACAACCTCTTTCATTCTCATTCACTGTATATATATCCAATCAGCTGCCAAATCTTGATGTTTCTACTTCCACAGATCTCTTACAGGAGGCCCTTTGTCTCCATTCACACAGCCACCACCCTAGGTCAGGCCCTCATCACCTTGCCTGGACTACTTCAATAACCTAATATCTCTCCTTGCCATAAGTGTCTCCCCATTCCAATCTATTCTCCACACGGATGCCGGTGATTTTCCTAAAGCAGAGATCTGTCCATGGCGTCTCCCTATTTTGTAAATTTCAGTGGCCCCGTTACTTCTCGGATCAATTAAAAACTGCCTCATTTAGCATTTAAAGCTTTTCACAAACCATACCCTTCATACCTTTCCAGACTTCTTATGTCATTGGTCCTCTTCGAGAACGAATGATGAACAACAACAAATATTATCACTCCCTGCAGGTACTGTGCTGTCCAGTATATTTTCTTAAGTATAGATAATCAACAAATCAAGTCCTGATCTGTAGCTTTTGCTAACTTTTGAGGTATAAATGCTCACCACTGAAAATACAACAATGGCTTTAGCAGAGTCCTTGTGAGCTGGCTACAACATGCCCCTGTACTGTTCCTCTTACAATCCCTCACTTCCTTCAAGATTCAATTCAAAGGCTATTTTCTGTGGGTTTTTCCTGGTCATCCCAGAAACTAGTGCCTTCATTTCCTCCTCTACAGTTATCTTCCATTTCTATCATCAGTGCTTACCCCAGTAACTGGTACCTAGTAATCTCTTGATTAATTTGTCTCTATTACCAGTGTGGTCAACCTAGTTCAGATTCTCAATTACCTCTCCCCTCCTCCCATACATTCTACTTGCTACCACATTTCTCTTTGTAAAATATAGATTTGGATCATGGTATTCCCTATTTAGAAACTGTCAATCACTTTCTTCCACCTACCAAATAATGCTGAAATTCTTTAGCCTAAGATTCAAGACTCTTCATACTTTGGCCTTGATTTATCATTTTTAGGCACATGACATTTCATACTACTCATCTTAATGAGCTTTAAGCCAAGCAAGACTTTTTGCTCTTCCTTTAACTGACACTTTTCCACCTTGGCATTTACATTCTCCCTCCACTCCTGCCCCACTCTAATTCTTATCTTTCTTCCAAAGCCCAACCTAAATGCTGTTGTCCAGGATGCTTTAACTAGAAGAAAAGTGATCTCTTCTTAAAAGTTTCACATTTGACTTAATATTATGGGTTTGTTTGTCATGTTCCCTATTACCCCAAGTGGAAAGGAACCATGTCTTCTCTTTATACTCCAGCACCGTTCCAAGTAACCAATAGATATTGCTAAATAAAAACAAATTTACTTTTTTCATAAAACATTAATTCATCAATATACTATCTCATCTGATTCTTACAAAAGTAAGAAGTAGATGCTATTATTATCCCCATTTTACAGTTGAGGAAACTGACGCAAACAGATGAAGTGACTTGCCTAGGATTGCACAAGTAAGTGAGGCTGAATTTGAACTTGGGTATTCCTGATTCTAGGCCCAGCACTTTAACCACTCTGCCACCAGCTACCTGTAAGTTACAAGTTACATGGTCAATGAGAAAATGCCAGCCTTACGAAAAAAATACTTCAACATTCATTTTGTTGTTTAGCCTACTAGTCCACATAACCTCTCTAGAGAATACTGAAACAATTTCTCAATGTCAAAAGTAGAAATGGTAATGTGAAATTCAATGGAAAAAGATGTTTAGGACACTAGTCCTACTCTTATGCTTGTATTTGTAT